CCTGTTCAAATAAGTCATCGAATGAAGTGGCTGATTTAGACAAACACTCTTATAGGAATCATTTTCGCTAAGTTAGAAGCAATCATCTGGCATCTAGGATTATAGTAGCCATAGACGGCACAACCAAACTCCGATGAATTCCCCTACTGCAGCTTCGCCGAACAAGTATGATAAGTGACAGGTGACTAGTTCAGAACGACTTGCCTGGACAACAAGGTGGATAGGAGACCTCTTTCTACATTTGGCCCTTGGTTTTGCTAGAATGGGATGCAAACTGGCAAGTGTACAGTAGCCGTTGCAAAACAGACCGGGTGGAATTTAGTCAGAGGTGGGTGGAGACATCGGAGAAACTGGTTCATTCTGTACAAAAAACCGCGTATGTTATTAATGCCGGCAGTGGAGTGCCAAAAGGCCTATGCCCTTGCGTATTCGCCAGAAAAGGTCAGGCGTGCGCAAATGAGTACGCAAGTGAAAACAGATGGGCATGAACAGAGCTACAGTGAGTGGCCGATCTCATGAAATGTTGGCTGAAATTCTGAAATGCTTTTTCGGTTAGAAAAGATTACTTAGGTGCGGTTGTAATACTGATTATCTTGCGGCATAATGCTATAATATTTCGGACTCGACAGGATGTCAGCTTTTGAATTAATTGCTTTTCAATCTCCTGTAGAAACTGTACTCGGTAAAAAAATGACTGCTTATGAAGCATGCATTTTTCACACTGATTTTCGATGGTCTTATAAATTCAAATATATATGAAGGAAACCACGAACAAAAATATGCTTTCTTTCAGTCGTCGGATAGAGAATAACGTCATCTTCATATTTTATACCCGAAGAAGCAGTACAATTAGGTTTTAAAAAAGTGTTCTAATTCCCGAATAATTTGGAGCCTAATCAGTGGTTGCATTAGCGCTTAGTGATATTAGTCTATAGGGTGCATGCGTTCCGCGTAGAGAAAGTCGCACGTTCGTCTTTGCCTTTAAAAAGATACCCCATAGAGTTCATGAAATTTTGCAATAGATACGGACTATGTAGCACATTTCATGAGGGGCAGTGGTAGAAAGGACAGGTAAGATGATATATGAATGGACATTGCACGTTCTTCAAAATCTCATAATCAGAAACTTTTTTTAAAACCTACTTGTACTCCTTCTTCGGGTATAAAATATGAAGATGACGTTATTCTCTATCCGACGACTGAAAGAAAGCATATTTTGTTCGTGGTTTCCTTCAAATATATTTGAATTTATAAGACCATCGAGAATCAGTGTGAAAAACGCATGCTAATTAAGCAGTCATTTTTTACCGAGTAAAGTTTCTACAGGAGATTGAAAGGCAATTAATTCAAAGGCTGACCTCCTGCCAAGTCCGAAATATTATAGGATTATGCCGCAAGATTATCAGTATTACAACCGCACCTAAGTAATCTTTTCTAATCGAAAACGCATTTCAGAATTTCAGCCAACATTTCATGAGATCGGTCACTCACTGTAAATATGTGAGTTCATGTTGCGGATAAGAGTGTCATTCGACTGTTCCGGCGGTCGCACACTCTTCTATGCAAATGAGTGTGTGACCGTTAGGACATCGATCGGTCGCTGGACTCATGTGTGAAGGCACGCGGATGGCTGGTCGGGCTTGTGCACCGTCCTGCATTCGCACGGAGCTTTGATCGCATAGGTCCTGCCGTCGTCTGGCTGTCAGCCAGGTGGCAAGCCAACATACGAGTGAGGCACCCACGCTAGAACTCTTGTAGCTCGTGAGAGTGTAAAGAGAGCGATGGATCAAACTCAACTTTACGTAAGCGAAACTGTGAGTCGAAAGTTAAGTACTCCAGCGGGTTGATGAACAGTCCTGTTAGCTTTTCTATCTGGACGACTGGTCAATGCTTGCAGTCGCAGAACAACACGGACGAGGAAGTTTCCCGGTAAATAGCGATAAATGTTGGGGAAAAAACGTCGTTTGTGATTCAAGCTAACAGTTGACGCTCTCTCCCCAAGTAAAGCTATCGATCATCTTGAGTTTTTTTTTCAGTGTGTGCTCCTTTACATACATTTAAATAAGCTAATGCTCGCAAGGCAGTACTACATATATGTAGTTTGTTGGGAAGGTAGCAAACTTTGTTTCGCAAATCTTCGACGTAGGTCTCTTAGGTCGTATTCAAGTTTCTGCTAAGTGAACAAAACAGTCAACACTTTGACTTTAACAACAAAGCAAAGGGAGACGGGGATGGGCATTTCTGGCTTATTAGTCGTCATCGCCCAGACATGCCAACTTAAGGTTTGCTACCCTTGGGGTTCGAATGTGCCCTCTGTAGGTTAGAAGTCCAACGATCTAACCATTGAGTCACGGTCTTATTGTCCTATCGGTTGCGATTTGGCATATCGACTATGGTAGAAGGCAACAGCGCGGTTGCCCGCGGGGCTGTAGACCAATCCTCAAGACACAGCGGGACGAGTAGGTCTCGTAACGCGATCGTGAATGCCCCTTAACATAGTTAACACTTTAAAAATGCCTAAAAACCAATACATCTCTTGCGTTTATGCTAATAAGCGGTCTCTGTATGACATCGTTGTCATGGTGTTGGCCACCGTCCTTTCAATTTACCCCTGAGATTTCTGTATGAGAAATTCGACGCAATAGGTTAAATAATGCATGCTTCGCCCGAGTGCATGGCCTCGAAAAACTTTCGGTATTACTTGAATGGGTAGATGTCAACGGCGTGAGTTCTATCAAAAGCGGAGGAGAGTCCAATGTTCGGAGTATGCATTTGACCACAGTATACTGGACTGCAGTCGTCGTAGCCGATTGTGTAGACGACATTTGGTCGACCCTATCGTTAGGGCGCATAAGGTGTGCACGTACTGTGATTATGAGTCTGTACATCACTTGTGTTTGGTGCCTACATACGTGATGTGCAACGAGTTCAGAGACTGGTAGAAGGGCTCTCACCAAACGTTTTTCGGAACTCACTCGTTCCGTTGTGCCTTGGGGCTCTCTCTCGAGCTCAACCAACAGCCGCACCGTGGCGCGTACTATAAGCTCTCCTACTATTGTGTATACCCCATAGCAACCGACAGGACAGCGAGCCCGTGGCTCAATGGTTAGGAGAGTTGGATTTCTAACCAACAGGTCGCGGGATCGAGTCCCAGGTGTTCTCCGTCTCGAAGTTGGGTATGACCGGCTGACGACGGCTAACAAGCCAGAAATGGCCACTCCATCCTCCCTTGTCTTTGTTGGTAATGCGATTCCGAGTTCAGACACATTTTTAGTGGAAGGGTACGCTTGGTAGGTATCTAGTTTGGGTGTCTGTTAGGACCTACAAAGCTCATTTTCTTCTAACTCCTGCTGTCTTGTGCATCGGCGTACAACATCTTTATGACACCCATTACACGAAGATAACTCGAACCAGTAATTTATTTTGATTCGATTGCTTTCATTTGCAGGACAGTGCTTTCAGTTGATTGAGTAGGCTGTTTTCAGCACTCTGTTCTTGTGTAAGAGTAATTACTCTCATAGGTTTCTTTACGCAAACTATGCGCAATTCCCCGTTGCGTTTCCTATGCACCATGGAATGTGGAAGAGAGACTTTACTTTTATCAGCTCGTTTAAAACCAGGAGACATCAAGAAAGAAAACATTCATGTCAAACGTTTTCTTGCCGGTCAACCTGATGACTTCCTTTGATACGGTTGTTAGAATGCGCGAACAATAAATAAATGAAGGCATTTTTTTCAAAAAATCTAGGCTTTGCTATAAGTGGAAGTCGAAAAACATTTGAGACGCTATTGAGATAGATTACCATCAAAAGTAATGAGCCTGAAATGCTTGTGTCTAGCCCATTTCCTGTTGCGAGTCAACCATAACCACCTCCAGATCAGAAAAAACCAAGATTTGTAACGGGTCTGGGGGGTCCTTCGAAAAATGTTGTACCATCAAACCACAGACTTACTCTATGGTCGGGGCTATTCAGAGTTGCATGCTAGCAGCATGCGCTGATCTACCCTGATTGTGCAATCACAGTCCACTGGATGTGAGAGCACGATTCAGTGGTAAAACTTTTACACAACGAACAACGAAACCCGAATTGAGACTTTAGAGATACCAGACCTGGAGTCAGAATATAACTGGCTGACGACGGGATATAAGTCAGAAATGGTCTTTGCAGCCTCCTCTGTCTTTATCAGCAACATCCCTCGGCCATTTATTCATCTTCGTTGTGTTGCCGCCTGTTTGAACCACAGACTGAAGCTCAAAGTTAACCTGGAATGTCCCTCCGTTCTACGTTCCCAGCAAACTGACGAATACCTACCTCACGTAATAGTCTTCATCAACGACATCTGAGAAACAGGATATTCTAGAAATCCCACCGGCAAGATTTTTTAGACCCATGACTACTCTTGTTTTTTCTCGACGAGTTGGAGGCCAGCCTGACTGTTTGGCCGTCGCATCGAACGATGTCCCCTCTGTGCTCTACAGCAAGGTGGAGCAGGCACGCTGACTCGCGCGTGATTTCCTTTATGGTAAGCGTGGACTTGCGCTGCATCTATCGCACTCTCCAACGGTCTGTTTCTTGTCCATCCGTGCCACGAAGTCGTTGAAGGCGTACGACTTGTAGTCACTGGAATCTACGCAACTCGGAAACAAAAGGTTTGCGCTGCTAATGTCCCCCCCCCCCTCAGAAGCAAGCTCTAGCTTATCCGTATGACGGAAGAGGATGTTCTGTGATAGGGCAAAGACCGTTGACCGATACGGCCTTCTGCATGAGCGTCCCCTAATTGGTTCACACATTCTGCAGACGGCCGCGTCAAAGCAACGCGCGCTCCTGCCCTTGAAATGGCTGTCATCCAATAGGAATCATAGGCATTATTTACGCCTTCGAGATTTGCATGGCAGAACAACCCTCAGCGTCCTTTAGTGATTGGTCATCGAATCAGTGGTCGACTGAGGGGGCTGGCGGTGCACCCAGTGACAGTTGTAATAGCGTTTTATATACCTAATGTACCAGAGCCTGGTTTTCCCCTGTTGTCGGCTCTGGACTTATGTCTCGGGTCTGCGAACAGTTACTGTTCTGAAGGTTTTCCTAATCGGATTAATACTGCCGTTGCTCATTTTCTATGGACTTGGTCGAAGGACTGATTGGCTCTCGACAAGTATTCTCTCCACTGCCGGTGCCTCTACTGACCCTACCTTTTGCGGAGATGACGAACAAACTGCCTGGTGGATAAATCCTAATCGAACAAATCTCGCTGCATGGCAGAGGATACCCGAAGAAGAAAGGACCTTTCCTCTAGCTTTCACTATCATCGCCTTCGAGAGACCGGATCAGGTTTGCTTGTATACTATTTATCACGTTGCCAGTTGTTTTTGATTACATCAACATGAAGTTACGTTTTGTTGACGTCTATGACATATCATCCTATCGGAATGACATTTCAAATTAAGGTGCCGGCGTTTGTCATGCGGTAGCCATACTAGTCAAATTCTCCTTTACCATAATCATGTAGTGGGCACGTACTGCACACGCCCTGAACATCTCTCCGTTAGGTCCCCTCTTTGGTTTTTTTTCATGTTACTGGTTGCGGCGGTAGTTTGTAGGGGGCGCAGCCAGCTACGTTACTGTGGCAAGTACGAGTGTTTAAAAAAACACCAATTTGTTCGGATGCACTCACCCCTGTACCTCCTGAAGTTTCGGTTGTATTTTGTGGAATAGGGATTCTGGTTAGCAGGTCCTACCAAAGATCTTGTGAGGCCACGACACATGGAATCAGATGTTTATGAAATGTCGCGTTTCCAGCTGTGTTTAACGAACTGATGAGCTTTGCTGGCAGAGAAGTGGAAGGCTAGAATGGCCATTTCTGGCTTATGTGTCACCATCAATCAGGTTAACGTCAACTCCTGGCAGAGGATAACTGATAATATAAACCTGGGTCGAAATGGTTAGTGAAACAACCCTCTACTATGAAGCGATTGACTCACGTCCTGTGGACTGCAATCAAGGGTATTCGAGGTCGTGGGAGTGGCGATCACTGACGCGTTCTTATTACAGGACAGAATGTGGGTATTCCGTTTAGCCTTGGATCCCCGGTCTAAAGCTCCCACAGATGGTTGTACGCCGAGAGCAATTAGTATTAGAGGAGGCCCTCTGAGGAAATCCAATGAAGACTGTATTGTTCATTTTTGGCGTATTTACCATCGGCAGTCAGTCACATCCTAGCCTCAGGTGAGAAAGACCCGAGACATAATTCCAAGCTCTCTCTTCAGTGAGCACTAAATCACGCTTCCACATCATGTCGGCCGTCCGGAGCCTTGATTGAAGCTCCAAGACGAAGTAGAACCGCCCGCATCCCTTCAGGAAATCAGGATAGACTGGTAAACGTCACTCCTTCGACAGCTTTCTTTCCCGGTAACGGACGACAGAGCAAGAGTCCATGGCTCAAAGGAAGGACTTTTGAACTAATGTCTAATTGGCATAGAAAAAACTTTCACTTACCGGATCAGTTTGGTTTGGAGTTTGGGTGTGGCCAAATGACGACAGCAGCTAAGCCAAAAATGACCACCCTAACCTCTTTTGTCCTCTATGACGACCCTACCTGACCGACCAAGTTGCCAAGAACCTATGACCAACTCATACCTTTAGTAATGCCAAGGCGAGGTGCTTTCACCGTCTCTTGACGCAAGGAAAGAGTTAGGTCCTTGTAGAATGCTTATTCAGAGCTGTGTTGTAACACATTAATGTTAGAAATATACCTGGCTAGCTCCTGTAATAAAACACGTGTTCGGTGTTCCGGCTATTAGAGTGATATGAGGAACGTGAATGCGATGCTGCACACTATTTAAACCGTCCTTACGCCACTGTAGGCGTGACTTTGAAGGTTTCCAGATGAGGGCTGCTTGGTTGCCGAGCCTAATATGAGAACTTCGGTGATTCTTTCTTTCCCTTGGATTTCGTAGAAACTGATAATAGGAGTTTTGGCATATTTTAATAATTCAGCAGATGCACTTGTGAAAAACTATTTAAACCTCCCAAAATCCGATTGATTAAACTGGTCTGGTAGTCATCTGTCGATTGCTTAGAAAATCCTGTTTTAGCCGTTAGCATGCTGTATCACATCTGGCTGATTCGATATGCTTCAGTTGGTTGGGCGAGTAACTTCACCCGAACGTGATAAAACTCACGGCTCTCAGTTGGGGTCTCGTAACTCAGGCGGTTAGAGTGTTGGCTGTACTCAAGCCTTGCCATTACTGTCGCGAGTTGGAATCCCATCGAGTCCGCCGAGTTTTTCACAATTGGAGCTTATGAAATCTGACAAATAAACTTGTCCTAGTACGTGTGGCCCGGCTGTTTGGTTCAAGGGACCAGCACATTTGAGACTCATGTCTCGCTACTTACTGTGACCACTTTATCTTGGCCCAGTTTCGTTTCTGGCAAGTACGGCGGTGCAGATTACTTGCCGGCCAGACTTAGTTTGGGTCTTTACGTGTGAAACTGATGCTCACCATCGCAAAGATTCGTCAGACATATGACCGGACGAGAATAAGGTCAAAGGAACTGTTCTTTTAGTCCCCCCTGCCTTGTTTTACCTAATTCCGCATACTATGTGTTAAAAATACGCACGAAAATCGCGGACGTGGCGAAACATGCAGAATTTAGTGACGAAGTAAACTTTGACTGCGAACAGTCATTGCAAATTTGCAAACCAAGTAGCTCAATCAGAAAGCAACATAGTGCGATTATACTGGAAGTTTACTATATCATTCATTTTTGCATATTTGGTAAGCCTCGCCTTGTCCCTGGGAGGCAATGCTTCGAGAGTGTATATGCTGCTTTTTGAGGGAGGTCTCCTGTAAACTAAAAGTTTGCTAACTTGCAACCACAGTCACTGATCGGACAACGGAGCAGAAGAAAGACAAGACAATGGGTCCGTAGCTCAATGATAGTGCATTCGACTCAATTAGCAGAGAGTCCGGGTTCGAATTCCAGGTGGTGTGCGTGTGTGTGTGAACACTATTCTATCGTTCTTTCGAACATTTTGAGCCAAATGTGCTTACTAAAATCCAGATAGAATTTAAACTTTAATATTTTCATTTCTGAGCTTCAAAGTTGTCCAAGAGCTCAACGTTAAATTACAAACTTTTTATATGTATATTGTATGAACTTTTCCCGAAAATACTGACCGTATTGGATATTCAGATGCACTTGAAGATAATGAAGTGTTAGTTTACTATTGGGGGGGGGGGAGAGGAGTTTGGTTTTGACACCAGCACCTGGTTAGACAAGAAGGCAGCGAATTTCTAAGCAAGCCGACGAGTGTTGTCTTAGGAGGAGGGAGGATATTACTTTTGGTGCCTTGGGGGCGGAGATTATGGTTTAAGCTGGGAGTTATACGACTCCCAAACTTCACAGTAGGGAGTAGAATCGATCTCAGAAACTTTTATTTTATCAACGGTGGCACTAAAACGATCCGAGCGGAGCATCTCAAGGAGCCCTCAGTGGCGAGGGGGCGGGTCACGCGTATATAGGACCTCGAGAACAACTGAGGGGTGGGACGGAATAATGGTTATTGTGCATGCACCCACTTGCATGAATAGATCTGAGGAGTAACAAGAGACTGTAGATACGGAGCACCTTCTGGAAAGCGTACTCAAGACTAAGAAGCGAAGACACGTTCAACAGCACAGTCACTATAAAATATAAGGAGACCCTAGTGGGTAGAAAAAATTTTACCTTATACCATGGAATATAGAAAATTTGCACATCCAGAAAATAAACGAATTGAAAGAGGGGCCAATCTGCTGTTTCGCCGGGATAATCTACCTGCTGGCCTGCCGGAGCCACCTTACCGGGCTGTGCAAATAATTGTTCATCTGTCTAGCACACAAGGCAAGCCTGCATTTCAGTTTGATGACCATTCGGCATCTGATTTGAATTTAGGAGATGGGCGGTTCAATTGCACCGCAGGAGAAGCCTTTTCTGGTTGGCTGAGTATTATGCCTTCATGATCTGTAGCATTAAAATAGTGGCTAATTGTCAGATAAGGCAGAAAGTCTTCTCTGGCCAAACAGCGTCTGTATTTTTAAGGAGTAGCCCAGACAATATGTGGGCACTGTTTTCACTTAAATACTGATTATTTGTAAGATAAAAAGAACGATGTTCAACAAAAATGCCCCGCTTTTGTAGCAGAAGGTTACGCCCATCGAGAAAAAGCATTCTGCCCATCCAAAGCCGGATATTTTAGGCTGATAGAGTCCACCAGGGAAAATGGGGGTTACTATGGCAATGTATAGGGACAGATACAGGTCATCGTCTAAGTTTCTGCATTATAGAAAAATCAGTCAAAAGGGATGGCGCTCGAACGACATCGGGCTAGCCTTAAACACAGAACCTGTGTTGGCAGGATCAATGAGTCGACGCAGTATCGAAAAAGCGGACTTCTTTGAGCTGTGATATACCAGGAGCTTCAGGTGTGAGTCGTTGTCATTGAGCTGCCCGGCCTAGGATGGCCGTTCCCCAAGGGTTGGGACTATGGCCACTTTCGCCTATGTGTATTGTAAGTTGAGAATTTGGGTCTGGACTTCAAGTTTCAACTTTGTGCCCGTGTAGGTGAGTCTGCAGTTTTCGTTCGGTTTCCTTAGCCTAGTTGCAGGCCCTATCACTGCGACATATCTTGTAGACAATTGTCGATGTTTCGGTAAGTGGCAGAATGTCCTTAGGTTGTATTAAAAGGCGACGAGGTAATACCCGAGGTCGACGAGCGATGCCTACTGCGCCGGGTTGTAATAGTCGAGAAACCGCCCTGAAGGCTCCTTTGTGGTAGGAAATGGCCCTCCAGACTTCTGGTTGCTGTTCCTTTTAGCGTCACCTGTTCGCTCGACATCTGTCTTGCTCGAGAAATCTGTCCAGCTCTTTCGCCTTTTTGAATTACCGTCCCAGAACTTTTGACCTTGGGTAACGAGGTCGTCTGCACCGTTTCCTGTCGTATGAACTGCATCCTGAAGATTTGTAGTCAGTCAACACATAGGTAAAGCAGGCGATGACGTTGGAATTCTTGGTTGGCGTCCAGACTCGCGGTATTTACTGAGTAGAAAACAACCTCTTGGGGGGAAAATCGATTGCATGGGCTGCACCGAAGTCAGCTTGGCATTTGCTGCCGAACGATCAATAAAATTGCATGGGCAGTCCTTTAATGCTTGCCAAAACCGGACACACAGCTACGGAGCCCAGTAACATCCTGACATTCCGACCTTCGTTGCCGATGATGTCCACTTGTGCGTGAATTAGTTTATAGTGAATGTAAACTTGCACAGCATCTACTGCATTCTCTCCTCCTCCCTCACCTCGACCTTGTGTCATGACAGAGTCAAGATGACCGGAGGTGGGGGAGGTCGCAGGTGGATAGCACGGTCGAGCGCACACCTTGATGTTCCTCTCCACACCCCCTAGTCCACGCGACAAATGACCAGGTTTTGGCCGCCAATAACAATGGGGGGAGTAGGGGTCTCAGTGTGAGCAACGGCTGCCGGCTACCGGACCTGCCACCATACCCCGATGGCGGGGAGATATTCTGCACTCGAGAGGCGGCAACATACGAACAGTTGCGTTTTCTGCGCAGATGTCTCCAAGACGGACCAACCTCACGATGGCTGAGGTGTAAAGCTCCCCTTAACACGGTTATGAGAGGAGACGTTGTGAGGCGGTTTGTCAAACAGATGACGAGAGCTCTGATCATGACTGTCAACGGCGTTTGCAGACATACAAAGCCAATATCGAGGAGAGTAGAAGACAGTGTGTCAACACTCTAGGGAATTCTGTCGCCGCTGATCTTGGGAAGACGATCTCTACTTTGGCACACCACAGGCAAGCAAGAAGAGAGAAGTTTTGGAACGGAACTTGATTAGGCTAAAACCAACAGGCACGGAAAGCTCAAACTTGGTGCACAAACTCTCGTCTAAGCAGTTAACAGAGCGGCAACTACGAGTGCTACGGCGTGAAACTTGTTTCAACACTGTAGATGCCGATCCTGTCGACTTCATTGCAGCCCTGGAAGCTAGGCTCGTGAGAAATGAAACATCCGACGACAAGAAACATTCCATCCGACAAAGTGTTACCTCCTTGTTGATGACACAGAGACCAACCCAATGCCTTTTGCAGATTGTGTCAAAAGCTATGAGGGAACTAAGGAAGGACGACAAGCTTATCATTCGGCCTGCTGACAAGGGACAACCAACCGTCGTGATGAATAGAGAAGACTCTAATTAAAAAGCTAAAACCCTTCTTGATGAGAGAGGATTTTATAGAACAACAGGAACTCACAAGACAAAGCAATGGCAGATCGACTGAGCAAACTGCTTAGAGAATAGCGGCGCAAAAATGTGATCACAGAGAATGAATGGCACCAAAGAAAGGTAACGGACACCGCGCTAGCTCGATTCTATGGTCTGCCAAAAATGCATAATGCAAATTTCCACTGTGACCAATCGTGGCCCTAAACGGCTGCCCCACCTATAATTCGGCAAAGTGGATGTTCGCGAAACTGAATTTCCTCTGAGGCTATTCGACTACATCAGTTCGATCAGCATCTCAATTTCTCATAGACTTCCGAGACCAGAGGATTCAATCGGACGAAATCGTGGTTCCCCTTGATGTGACGTCGTTATTCACATCCATTCCACCAAAGTTTGGCCGCGAAGTCCCGCACGAGACTTGAAGAGGCCTACGACGATACTCAGAATGCACTCAAAACTGAACACCTCATGGGACTGTTTAAATTCTGCCAACAAACTTTCTTCACTTTTGCTGGGGGGACCTATGGAAATATCAAGGGAGCCCCAATGGACCCACCGGTCTTCGGTTTAGCGGCAGAACTGGTTCTACAGGAGTTAGAAAAGATTGCCATCATCCAACGTAAGCCGGTATTTTGGCATCGCTACATAGACGGCACGTTTGCTATCGTAAGGAAGGACACGCTACAACATTTCCACAGCCCGCTCAACTCAGTCTTCCCTGGTATAAAATTCACGAGGGAAGAAGAACAGGAACAGCAGTTGCCCTTCCTTGATGTGCTCCTCAGACGAAACCATAACGGTGAACATGAAACGACGGTTTATAGGAAGGCAACGAACACCACACAACTTCTCAGTCTTCACAGCAGCCATCCGGTGGCTCACAAACGAAGCTGCATGAAGACGCTCTTCAAACGGATCCAAACTTATTACAGCAAACCGAGAGAACAAGCACGTGAGACCCGTTATCTCCGCGACCAGTTTGTGCAAAATGGCTATCCGAAGGCATTCATAAGTCGTTGTCTACGCGGTCGCCCCTAGAGGACCCAAACATTAACGCCACCAATGATATGACATCCCCTGCCATACATCAAGGACGTTTCAGAGGCAACCGAGGGCATTGCTGCTGAGCGAGGTGTTGGAATTGCTCACCGCCTCCTAGCCATCATGCGCAGTAGGGTCATGAAAAGTAAAGACCGGTTAAAGCCTGAGGAGCAATCTGGGGTTGTGTATCTCATACCGTGCCAAAACTGTCCTTGTAACTACACAGGCTAAGTTGGGTGCATGCTCGAATTGCCCATACACGGACATAAGCTGGCTGTGCGACAAGGCGACACATTATCACAGGTGGCCGCTCACACCTACGAAATGGGTCATGAGTTTGACTTCGCAGCCACCAAAATAGTCGTCCACGCCGAAGACAAAACGGGCCGAGAAATGATTGAAGCCTGGACCTTGGGAGAGAACTCAGTCAATCGATTTGTCGATTTTGCGTCGGCATACAGAGCCCTACGCAGCCATCCCCAGTCCTGCGTCATCGGTCGGTGATTGGCCTGCATGCCCTATAACTGTCGCTTGTTCTGTTGCTGCTATTATCTCTGACAATGGACTCCCGCACGAGTTCGAAAGCCCAGCACAATAAACAGAGTGTTCCGATGCTCTACCCCCCTTCTTCTTCAATTATACGTATACCTGGAACTCGAACGTTCGACTTTATCCATGTTGGCATTTTTTATAGCGTGCAACCCGATAACGCCTGCCAGAATCCGACATGGCCGCGTGTTGGTCCAGTGCATCGACCGCGTGGCCCGTTTGGGGGGACCAATTAACATTCTAAGCTGAGCGTGACTAGCATAACCAGTCAACGCAACAGTGCGCGCGAAAGGAGGTTACTGCATGACTTGAGCAAACAGAAATGTAGAGTGCAAAATCGAGTCCAAAACGCGCACACCAAAAATTATTCTGGTGCACGCATTGACCAGTGAAGACATAAGGGCGGTTCGCTCAAAGATCTCGGCTCAGTGCTTATGTGAGGTGCCGTATTTTAGAAGTTGCGATTCAGCTGTTAACAAGTACGGGTGATTTACATCGCATATAATGACTACCCGAAGGCGACTTGTGTCCGTTTAAAGCAAAGCCGCAGACTTTTTCGACCGGAGGTAACCACCGTGCGAAATAACGTGGGTTGACGTAGTTAGCTTACCCTTCTGTTGTGCGGTAATTCCGTCAGAGTAACGGACTTCCAATCGTTCGCCATGAGATATTTTATCGGTTGGGGTAAGCCACTCACAGCCACTGAGGCCCCACTACATAGAAAGCTAAGAGAGGAAGACAAACAGGTCCTCTATATAAGGTAATTAGATCTCCAAATTTCTTCAGTATACTTCCAGTCAGATTAGTAGTCGTTGTCTGAGACAATCGTTTCTGCGCTCTCGAGACGGCATTAGTAAACTTTTGGAAGTAGGTAGTCAGCCAAGAAGAACCCTGCATCATATTCGTCCGAATTTTGTTAAAAAGGACGAACGAGATCCGGATACAAACTGGGTTCTGGCTTCCGTTTTAAATGTCTGGAAAAGGTGCGTTCGATGAAACGGGAAGCTGTTGCCCTTCCTCCACTACCTCATTTTCTTTGCCAGTGAAAACAGGCCTCCCTTCCCATCCTCTATTTTTACCTATCAGCGTAAATACCCGATCGGAACCAACAGGACAACGAGCCCGCAGCTCAGTGGTTAGGAGCTCTGGACTTATAACCAACAGGTCACGGGATCGAGGCCCAGGTGTTCCACACCCCGAAGTTGGGTATGACTGGCTGACGACGGCTGATAAGCCAAAAATGACCACCTTATTCTCCCTTGTCTTTGTCGGTAATGCCATTCTGCCTATGTTATGTGTCGCCATGCGGCTGCTGCCGGAGCTTAAGAGAGAGCTTCAAGGTGCAAAGGGACGAGGGAGTTACGTGGGGCGATTGGTGGACGCCTCAATACCGTTATATATGTATATGTGTTGTATATGTGTATGGTTGTAAATGTGTATATATTAAGACAGTGGGCGCTCGCCGATCAGGTTACGGAACATGCCCCAAGGCACAACGGAACGAGCATGTTCCGTAACCTGATCGGCGAGCGCCCACTGTCATAATTGATCTTCCCGATCATAACCGACAGGACAACGGGCCCATGGTTCAATGGTAGAGCGTCAAACTCCATGACCAAAGATCCCGGGTTCGAATCTCAAGTGGTCCACACTTGGGGTTGGGTATGACTGGCTGATGACGGCTAATAAGCCAGAAATGGCCATTCCGGTCTTCCTTGTCTTTGTCGGCTCCATCTCATGTGTATATATGTATAGATACAGTAGGTGGGTTAACTCAAAAAATGTCAACCGAAATTCCGAACTGCGTTTTCGTTTTGAAAAAAATTAATTATGTAAGGTTGCAAATCTAATCGTCATGCAGCATAGTACTAAAATAATTCAGTTACCCCAGCATGCCGGCCTTCTAACGAAATCCTTTCCAGCTGCATGCAGAAATTACACTCTATAAAAAATGACTACTTAAGCAGCATGCATTTTTCTTATTGATTTTCGATGCCCTTAAAAGTTCAATTATATTTCATGGAAAACATGCATAAAAACATTCCTTCTTTTGATCACTCGGTAGAAAATTACGTCTTCCAAGTTTATACTCGAAGGAAGGGTATAACTTGGTTTTAAAAAAGTTTCTAATTGGAGATTTTTTGACACGGTGGAATGGCCGTTCATAAGACGTCATGTCTCTGCATTTACCAGTGTGGCCTGTAAAGTTCACGATATGGCTAAAATCCACTGTTAAATTCTACGAACCTCATATGGTCTCATCTTTATACCTTTGAGAAATGTATCGTTTTCCGTACGGGGAAAATATTCGGTTTGTAGTTTCGGAATTCTGAATGCAAGCGTAACGTCAGGTTGGAATTCAAAGTATTCGGAAATTTCAAAAGTTTTTGAAAACCGAGTTACACCCTTCCTTCGAGTACGAAATTGGGAGAAGACGTAATTTTCTACCGAGTAAACAGAAGAATAAACAGTTTTGTGCATGTTTTCTATGAAAATAATCGAAAATCAATGAGAAAAATGTATTCTGCGTAAGTAGTCATTTTTTACAGAGTATAGTTTTTGCATGCAGCTAGAAAGAAGTTTGTTCGAAGGCCGGCATGCTTGGGTAACTGAATTATTATAGAACTATGCTGCACGATGATTACTTTTAAAACCCTACTTTATTAATCTTTTCAAAACGAAAACGCATTTCGGAATTTCGGTTAACATATCGTGAGTTAGCCTACCTGCTGTATATTTCCAACGTTTCAAATCTCCTAGCTTTAAGGAAACATGTAATCTGCAAAATGGGTTGTCTTTGAAAAGTTCAACTGATTCTTCCCTCTCCTCTAATGACGAAGATTTGTACGCCTGAAATATTTGTTAGAAAATAAAAAAGACGCACCGCGTGTTACATATTGCAAGTTACACCTTCGTTAATCTATATTCTTTGTCTCATTGATTATCCGAGTTTTTAGTTTTGGGTGTTATATCAGAATTTTCCTGCAAGGTCTTAGCACTGCATTATGCGAATCGATATTTAGGCAAGCGCCCTCTGCGAGTACAAATCTTTGAGGTCCAGATTGTCCTACTGATAGCATTAGGCCAGTGAAGAGGCCCGTATTCATCAACAGATGCCCCCAAAAGGACTTTGCACCAGGCGATCACTAGCCATCTAGTCAAGGACCTGGCACTAGAGTCCATGGCGGTGGGTACATTTTGTATTTGCCTTTTTGTTTAACGGTAACTTTACACCGCCACTGCGTGTCGGCACACTGTTTACTTAACCATCAGTCTTAGTCAAAGTGGGGGGATCACGTGTGTGAGACAATATATGAAACCTAAGAGAACTACGAAATAAATATAAGAACTTCGAGGTAAAGATGGAAGCCTCACGACTTCACTACCACGGCTATGCGTTCAGTCGAGTAGATGTAATATGATTAGCGTCCATAAGCTGGTAGCGGTCGGTCTTATTAAAATTATGGGCTAACCCTAAAAAAGTATGAAACGTACCCTCTCCGTTGACGACATAGTCGACCTACCTGTCAGATGGGGTGCGTTCCCACCTCAGCCATCCTTTGGTCATGTGACTGTTGGTGGGAATAAACCCTCAGTTTTCGTCAAATGTGATTGTTTTTCCTTAACTAGCATGCTCGTATGGCAATTCAGGCCTGTCCGTATTCTTGGGTGTTAAAAGTGTTTTTTAGTCTCGTTCAAACTCCCGTTTTAGTCGTTGTTGACAATAGAAACTGAAGAATTCGGCCGCGTTCGTTGCAATCATCTACGACTGATTTACTGGGTTTCATAACACATGTGGCTCTCTACCATAATAACTTGGAAAGTTGAATACAAGAGGAACCCGTAGGTGAATACAGAAAGTCTTGACAGAATGGTTCCCGTCTCTTTTCTTCAGCAAAAGCACTTTGACTGCTTTCATTTAGAGGACTTCTTGACTGTAACGACACTAAAGTCGGTAATCAGCACCGTCAGCTGGCAGTCTACCAGTCCTACCAATTAATCGTTCTTCTAGCTTGCTATTTGGCGTAAGTAATGCGCACGCTGACTGGAAGCACAACTCCCTCTTTCGGTCGTTTTCAACACTGAATGAGAACATTCTTTGGAGATTCATTCCTTCCCAACAGTTATCAACCACCTTTTCTTTATTTCCGTAGGTATGGCGTTTACTGAGGGCGATTTACCGTCCACAAAACGCTTACTGTATCCACATGGACAGAAAACAATCACCTCGGATCAAGAGCTGGCTTCAGACAAAGATCAAGGCCTGCCTTCCAGATTCCTCGAACGTCCATCTCCTATCCACAATTGATGTCCAACACTCGTACATATCTGTCTTGGAGGCTGATCTTCTCTGTATGCGGCTCTTGTGGAAACTGACGACAACGAAGGGGACGTCCACCTCACAGCATCCGCCCTGGCGTTACCTTATAAACCTAACCGGTCAAGAGTTCCCTCTCAAAAACAACCTGGAACTGACGCGAATACTGCGTGTGCTGAACGGGGCTAATATAGTCCAACAGTTAAAGTCAGTAGACTTTGAGATAGACTCTTTAAATGGGACCGGTGTCCGAATACGATTTTTCCCGCGAAAATCTAAACAAACATGCTCGGGTCGTTTTTCATAACATTCCGATCGTTTACTTTAGCTTGCTTTGTACTCAGTGAACTGCTCTCTGCAGGAGACAGTTTTATAGGCAGAGGTACCGTGCATGCACTGGTCGGGATGCCTAACCCAAGGCAAAGATTACACTTGAATGAAAAGAACCAGAGCAAGATGGAGCTTGCCTGTTTGCTTAACTGCTAGGCACCCTCCATGTTTGCGGGTAGTAGAACGGACTTCCGCGAGAAATTAAATGCATAGTAAGAAGATTTACCTCGGGTGAATAAGAGGTCGCAAACTAGCAGTCGTAGTCTTAACGTGATGTAGAGAATTTAGGTCTGGCGAAAGGACTACTTTCCCAAATGCCGCGGAGTTCGATGACAGCACTGAAGTATGACAAGCATGAACTGCTATGAAAAAGGCTCTTACTGTTGCCTTTCAGGCTGACTACCTATTCGAAGGCCAAGTTTTCTACTAGGACAGCCAATCTCAACCAAAATCACTAGTCTTCCTTAAAAAAATCGAGTCTCAAGCAGTCACTACATTCAACTAAGATGCAAGCGGTCCTCATCAGGCATAATGGCAGACAGCTCAATAAATTAAACATCCCGACGTGGACTTGAGATCGACTGACGGATTTCGTCTCACGGCAAACGCATCGTGGCTCATAAAATCTATCAGACGCTACACCAAGTCCATTGACACATTGTTGAAACATGAAGCAATATTTTCCCGGAATGAATTTAAAGCAGGCATGGACAGCAGATTTTATTGGAAGCAGTAAATTTCGCGACGGCTTATCAACTGCAGTCTGTCGTTACATAACACAGAAAACAAGTAAGAAAGATACAGAGGTTTGAACTTCGACAGAGAAAATCAATGTAAACCAGCAAGGTCATCGTATACTGCAAGCAGACTAACCAATAAAATGGTAACTTCAAACGCAACATAGGAAAAAAAAGGGGAAGTAAACACGTCGAGGGATTTCGTAAATCAACGACAGGCCGCAGTTGATAAGCCGTCGCGAAATTTACCGGTTCCGATAAATTCTGCTGTCCATGCCTGCTTTAAGTTGTTGAAACAGTCAGGCAGAAGCTCCTAGATTCGCTCTTCGGACGTGATCCTCTATACTGCCTTTCAGCCGGGTACTTTTTCCTGGTGGTCTCCCCCGTTTTACTTTTGTATCTCGTTTGTCCGAAGAGATCCAGAGGTTTCTTTTTTCTGGCGTTTCGCATATCCGCGAGTGTCTGGTGGCAGAGTCAGAATGCGCAACTGACCGTTGCCCGGCCGTGCGGAAAGTGCCGTAATATATGAACTCGCATTATTTGTCCCACGCTTCTGTAAGCACATTGCCTTCACGGCGGCGCAACAATCTGTCTTCATAAGTGCATGCCCGGAACTGCCAGCTTCGCTTGATTGCAAGCGATATTCCCAAATCTGCTGCCTGGAGCGCATCTAGTTTATTCGATAGGACACGGGAATAGAAACTTTCCCGTCTTTGATACAGGTAGTCTTGCGCTAAATTCCAGGGAGATTAGGGTTAATGTGGGATTAGGGTTTAGGTTTAGGACTAGTGTTAAGATTAGGACAGGGGAATAGGTACCCGTTCTGGAATTTAGCGCAGGACACCTGTATTCCAGAGTCTTTTCTATTTGCCTTTCTTCCAGTTTATTCTGCCTGTACGAGGCAAGATAATATCTAGGCCATCCTACACAGGATACTCACAAAATGTTTATATTCATAGGCTTGCAGAAATACCGCAGAATGTCAACCGCCGGTTTTGGGGGTCATTCGTAGAAGAGTCTACACATAGATTGGGAATAATTTGAAATATAAGTTGGTCTTCGTCTTATTGTAATATCCATTGTTGCACACTGAAGTACGGACATCCCAAATAGACCCTGGCATTCCTGCAGTATGTTGTGCCACTTAATTGCGATAAAATCTACCCCCCCCCCCCCACCCGAGATTGCATACCTGAAGTTTGTCAAATATCCTTGCGTCATTGACCGAATGCAAATGCGGTCCCCTACTTTGAGGGTTAAGTTCTGTGTGACGGAACGATGTGTTGCTGCAAACACAGAATCGACTACAATTTAGACTTGGCCAGTGGTGACGACCTCTAGTCTCTGTAGTGTTCCACTGCAGATGCAGGGCTGCTCCAGTTTTAAAGCAGTTTTGGACGTCGACACAACTTACTCGTCTTCCTTACTAGTTAGCGCGTGGCCTGTGATTATGGTGGTTAAGTTACCCCGTTTTCTTTATTCAGTTCATTGGGGTCCTTCATCCTATTGTTGCCCTCTATGTTGTACCATGTCGATGGACATGTCTGGTGGTAGGATAACACGGTTAGCGACACATTTGACGAAGTATCCCTTTCCTTCGACGAGTGAGATGCGAAACCGGGCCAGGGGGACCACGAGGAAGAGGTATCCAACCAAAAGACAGTGCACAAAGTCGCATTCACGAAGGATGTCAACGACAAGACTCGACCCCTCGAGTTGAGAACACGACTCAGACCCACTTATCAACACACCCACATTAGAAAGCATTTCTCCTCTCCCCGCATGTTTCTTTTCCCCTTACTGCGGTCACGATCCCTTGTGACCTCTGCGGCGGAGTACGTTATTTGCACCCCGCGCCACTTAGCTCCAGGCTTTCGACACGCTCTGTGGTTCATTCCATTTTAGAGCACCAGTGAAATTCACCATTGACGGATTTGTCCTGTCAGCATTTATTGGGATGCACTACGTAAGATACACACTTGCTTCCCCTGACAACTTGCCCACTCACTAGCACACCCTGGCATTTGTGTGAGCGCCCGCAGCGGCTTTGAACACAGACCAGCATTGTCGTGAGTAGGAAGCTCAACGCAATGTTGGCTCCTACACTACAAATACCCACAGCCAGCGTGACAATACAAAACAGACAGTCTTCCAAGAATTGCTTTATTCTCGTCTTTTCAGTCAGAAGTCATCACGTTAAGCAATCTGCGTTGCATATTTTAACCTACCCTCCTCCTCGAGGGCAACTGGAATGAAGGTGCGAACAGTATTCACCGTCATCGTCAGACGTAATAGTGTCCTTCAATGTAACCTCTGATAAGGAGGTTTCTACAGTTTCTACGAAGGAACTTCATCACTTTCCTGCCTTCAGGAAAAGAAACAGCCATCGGAGACGGGGTCGGTAACAAAAACAGATTGATATAACCTGTCAAAAGTCAGCAAACTGACGTTTATGGTATCGCGGCTACCATTTAAAGTGTACAAAATTACAGTGCAAGGACCGCATGTAGAGCATGGTAATGTCAAAACCTCTGCAGAAAAAGTCATCTTGCTTAGTGGCTGCAAACCCCGGTTTCCACTCGCTGCCGATCAAGAGATACAAATGTTTGACACCTGCTGCTTCCGAAGAAGGCTTCCGTTGTGCCTTGTGAACCATTACTCAAATACGAACTCCAACGCCTCTTGGGGAAGTCTGCTGACGTTGTGATAAAGGTCGTCGACTCGGACTGTCTGATCGCGCACTCTGCCAACCCGGAGGCGGAGATCGTTCACAACGTCATCTCCCTGAATCTCTGTCCGGGTTGGCGCATCCGACATGCTGACCAATTTAGGAAGAGGACGGGTGTCTCTAAATAGGTCCTAAAGAGCATTCTGGGTACGACAGTCTTCGAGAAGGGTATCCAACTGAACAATAAGTTGCGGGTATGTGACTGTCGACACAGGATATAAACGCGTCAGTTTTCGACGTTGTGTATACTGGAGTCGACTAAACTTGCATTGATTTCGGTCGATACAAGTGAAAAAAACAATCTGCAATTTATGAATTTTCTTAAGATCAGCGGCCGGTACAGAGCTCTTGGGAGCATCAGAAGGCTGATTTAGGTGCAGAAGGATTCGTCATCTTCCCAAAATGCCATAAATTAGCAAACTCACATCTGCGTGTTAGCGGATGATGGATAAAGATACGGAGATCTAGTAACAAAGCATACGAGTGTGCGTCCATTTCAATATGGAGTAGCACTCGATGCATTCAAAAACAACTGTTTATAGGGGAGACACAGATGAAATCGTGGTTCTTCTGCGCCACCAATCCCATTGCCGGGACCGCACCCATTACCCCCTGTGATCCGTTTGTTTGCCAGTCGTCCTGTTTCCCCCTAGGTTTTGCTTGGAGATATGACTGACCTAAGAGAGCAGGCGTAAGTGTGGACAATTTGTTGCATCGGACTCGCCTGTGTTTATCGGTCAGGCTCCTCAAATTGTCGTTAAATATGCTGCGTTTAGCCAAATGTTTTAAGTCCATGTATTTATATTATGCTATCATCAGTCCAAAACTTATATGTATGTATGCATATATATATATATATATTCTATGTTTTCTTTTTAATTAGCTCCTTTGTAGACAATTACCTTTTTGCGATCCACGTCACCCTATTGGGAGCTTGGGCACCAAAGGCATAGCGAGCGTCAGTTTTTGTTCGTTAAAATCTAATAATTAAGCTCAAAAAATGTACTAGAATGAGACAAGTAAAACGGAACAGTTATGTGTACCTGCGAAACATAAATCCATTACCTCTGCATTTCAATGCAACGCTGAGTTTTTAATCATGTACTTTCTTTCATAGATTCGACTTCTATAGATCCCCTATACTCCATCGACCTCCACATGGACTGCAGCTCTACAAAGGCTCCGTTCACGTTGTACTGTCCTGGGCTTTTGTTGATTTCATCTTCACGGACCCCAGAGTTCGCGACTTCCTGCACTTCCTTCCACATGTTGGCGTGCCAGACGAGGCCTTCTTTTCCACAGTGAACCACAATGCACTTCTCAGCGCACCCGGTGGTTTTCCCTGTTAGTGCCTTAACCGATTTCAGCTTTGCCTCTTCTAGCCTTTACTGTCTTTCTGTAGGAGTATACAAGGCTGAAAGAAATTAGACTTTTTGGGGAACATGCGCTGAAATCTTTCGTTCCGAGATTCTGTGTAGAAGCTAGTTTTTTGACCTGGTAACTTCGGAAGGTCAAACCCTCTGATTCACCATGGAAGGAGTAAGGTGATAAAAAAAGCTTTCGCCAAGGCGCGTGAACACAATTCCGTTCGTGAAAAAGTTGTATTTTAAGAACAACCTAGGGCCTTTAGAGGATTCGAGTGAGAGTGGTGTCCACATAACCGGCCCGATTGCTAAGCGCAATGCTTACGTTGCGTCCGCAAGTCGCTGATTCATGCGATCCGAGGGTACTGCAGGTGCCTGTCCGTTAACCAGGTTGCATCGCAGCTCGTTGGATGGATAAGGAGGAGGGCTTTAACATCATGCCCATGCACTCGCCACTTGTCAGCGCCTCGCTTAGCGTTATAAAAGTCGCTCAAGGGACGGTAATAGGAAATAGTACACTCGCGATAATAACAGAGGGGCGAAGTACATTGGGATATGCAATTATTCGGAGTTAGTAATCAATAAGTGAAACACTCACCTGTCCGTCTGCTAAACGCTCGTAGTAGAAGCGTAAACATGAGATAAGCAGAGGACTCGACGTTTCACTATATTGTATACTGGTTATAAGTACTGTTAGATAGTGAGTCACATGCCATAGTAGTAAACGCATCTGACCCCACACGAGGTCTGTGATCCGACTTTCAGGGAGGTATTGAACGTCAGCTGTTTAAGCATTGACCACGTCGCAGTGAACAATTTGTGACGTCTAGGTGATGAGTGTACGCAGAGTGACACTTCGGCCTTCGTTACCAACAATGCTTACCGTGTACCCCACAGCATGGTGACTTGCGCTGCATCCACCACATTCTCTCTTCCTCTCCCACCCAGGCCCAGTGTCAGGGCAGAGTCAAGGAGATCGGAGGCGCGAGAGGTCGCAGGTGGCTGGTGCGGCGTACACCCGCATCTGTACGTGCAAACCCACCACCTGATTTGCAAATAAACGAGCAGGATTTCACAGAACAAGAAAACGGTGCGTGGCACAGATCCCAACTGAGTGGGAGTACCATAAAAGCCGCATTAAGAAGGAGCCATTCCAGTCCGACTCTTAGTTCCTCAGTCGGCCATTCTACACACGGAACACTGGGCGGACTGCGAGCTCCGAGATGAATCCTCAATTAACGGCTTCCCTAGCCAAGACCTTTAGCGCAACGTGATAGTCTCAAGCACGCTGACCTTACTATTTTCCCTCTTTCTCTCTCTCTTCCCTATCCCATGCATCAGTCAATTGTCCAGGCCATTCAACCAACTGATGCTAAGATTGAGAAAGGCGGCCAACAGAATTGAAAACGACCTGTCTGCGTCTGACATGCACACGACCGGGACCTCCACAAAAAGACACCGGGGTTTCGCACGAAGAATGTGGGCTGCTCGGATCTCACATGTAGCAGAGGGGCCACATGGAAAGAGAGCCGAAGAACACACTTCTCACTCACGTGAGAGATTTCTAGTTTGTGCCTGTAGTGTGTGATTTTAAGCGTGTCCGTGTGTGATGCATTTGTTGATGAGGAAGTATATGGTGATAGAGCGCTACAGTAATTACGGCTGAATCTCTTTTTGAAGGAGAAGAGGAAGGACACCAGCAGGGGTCGTATGTTCTGTACAGAAGCTGGGTGGTGACCACCGCCCTGTCCTGGACGGTTTGGTGTGAAAGTTTGGTGAACCCTTGTTTTAGTCCAGATTATTTGCTTTTTCTCATGAGGTGATGCGATATAGGTTTTATGTGTTATATTGTTTTTTTTCTAATTGCTGAAAAACTCCTTCAGAAGTCTTAAGCCCCACTTCCACCCTGTCTTATTATGAAAGCATTAGCTTTTAAAACTCCTACTTCCTTACAGGTGAAATATTTTAAAACAAAAGAAAGCCCAAGGCTTGGTAGATCTCCCCACCACAGGTTCACGTATGGTTGGCTAAAAATGGCAAGTAAGCCAGAAATGAGACCATGTCGCCGTGATGCTCATCAACCGGACAGATAAAGGTTGCTTTCAAAGGGTCGACTCCTCATTTTGAATTAAAAATACCTTTCTCCTCGTACCGGGAAAAAATTAGGCCAGCCGGCCAATTTATCAGAAGGTAACACTAGTGGAATTCTGGACTCAATTTGAATTCTGCGACCCAGTCGGCGCTCGGGGTGCCACAGGTGCATCGTTGAAGTGATACCGTTATTGCACCTCAGTACTGTCGCCTTTACTGATTGTTTCAAACGCTAAGCCAAGTTTAGACCAGGGCGGGTGAGTAGCTTTCAGCGTCGGGACAATGAGCGCCGTCGCTGTTATTTATGTTTTTGTTTTTGGACAGGAAGCAACCACTGCGGGTGACCGGATCCTAGGCGAATGTCCGGGCAGCGAGGACGTGGAAGACGGTAAATGACAGGGGTAGTGTCGCAGACTAGCGTGCTTGGACTCAAATCTTGCAGCCGCGACACTTAGCCCGTTGCAGCCCTATTTGCAGCCGCAGACTCAGTCGGGTTACGGGAGCCGTGGTGGTATATTTAGTGTTGGAAGGGTGCTGTGGACTGGCTCATTACTTATGACGGTGGCAGAGGGGGTCCCGCGCGTTAGTAATAACCTGATAGGTGTGCGTTAGGGGTGGGACGTCGTGGGCGTCATCGAATGCAGTGCACTAGGCTAATGGACAATATTGTCGAGGTTCAGCCACCGTTATGAGTTGATGAGCTCCTCTTTGGGACTCGAAGTCGCCTCAGTTTCAAGTCCGAGTGCAAGATGCGATGGTAGCGGACACACTATGAGTACGTACTCCGCCGCCACAGCTCCATCTCCTCACCTACTGAAGAAATAGGCGTCAAGGTGATCAATTTTCCTTTTTCAATCGCGGAAAATCGGATAGTCGTTTTCTCCACGCCTTCTTTAAGTACTCCCTCAATTTTCCCCGTAGGTCGCGCATAAACTATTGTGACTCAGTGTGGCGTTCCTGATTTCTTGCATGGCCGCTTTCGCAATAAAACACGTCGGACGTGTGCCTTCTTGCCTTCGTCGGACGTGTGCCTTCTTGGAGATGGTAGGAAATTTTGGACAGTCCCGTTCGCATGACCCGTATCGAAAAAACGAAGCCAATGACTCGACGAAGTAAACAGATAACGCATCCGAATTTACTGATGAAACAGCAGAGAAGAGGCATGAAATCAGATCTAATGTGATAGGCAGTTGGTGAATGGAGGAGGAGAAGAGTGAAGAGGCGATAATGCACGATAGAGCATGGAAGCAAGTACCTCCGCTATTACAGGTGGTCTTTAGATAAATTCAAGAGAGTTAGGGCTAAAGTTAGGACGCGGGAATAGGTACAGTCCACAGAATTCGGTGCAAGGCTACCTGTAATGCGAGGATATTTATTCCACTGACCAATCAAGTGCACGACCACGGTTAAAAAACAGTATCCCTCCAGACTCTCTAGTCGTTGTCTTCTCTTGACTTCCACTAAATAAGAGACAATGCAAAAAGTTATGGATATTGTGCCGACAGTCGTATTTCTGGTTGTTAGAGGCAGGTACATTGACTAAACATGGAACTTCTGATCCGTGAGCTGAATAAGACAAAGGCAGTGATCTTGCCGATCGCTTATATTGTTTTGTCGACTCACCTGCCTACTTCCATCTTCTGCACTCTATCCGTGCATAGACGGCGATGAGGCCTACAGAAGAGGCGAGGGATTTGTGAATCGGTGGAAACACTTCTGGCCAGAAGAGTGCCACGGCAAGTGGCGCCACCTCGTCTGCATTCCTGCCCTTGAGGACTTGCAGCCCCTCTTCCGACTGCAGTCGCCCGAACTGTTCATCAACAAGTTTGTTATGCACCTGAACAGCGACGTTCTAGATGTCACTGAGGGCTGGTTCTACGACCGACAAGATTGGCTTTACCGTCATCAGAATCTCACGTTCGCCCCCCTGGACTTTTTTGCAAACCTCCCACATGTAAAGTACCAGATTAATAGGACATTAAATGCACTAGAAAAAAGTTGATATGACGATGTACACTCCTCCTCTTTTTCTGATCACTGTACAAAACCCACCAACAGTGCACCTGCGGGAAACCAATGAAATAGTCCACTATAAGAAATTTCGAAGAAAGGATGTCTTGTTCTTTTCATGTTGTATATTTTGGCACACGAAAATTGGAGGCGCAATTCGATATCAGTGGTTCGGAGTGGTTTCGGGGAGTACGGATGCATAAACTAGCCGGAGCTTGGACGGTCCTTAGATGGAAAAAGAACATGTCGGATTTGAAACTGACTAAACTGCAAGCCCGAGACCTTCTCTTTGGGACTTAAGTTTTGTGTGCCGAGAAGATAAATAGAGCCGACGGAGATTGAGGCCCAATTTGAAGACCTATATCACCAATTATCAGAATTAACACCGACATCAGAGGACAATGTGAGATGGTTGAAAGCGAAATTCGTAGATATCGCCTATCAATACAGAACTTTCCCGACTACAGAACGCTCACTGCTAACTAGACGACACATCTCGGCACTAACTGACCTACGTAAGACTACTAAGTCATCATCTCAAGATCTGATTACGTGAGAAAGATGGAAGCGATATTGAGTGACTCCAGCAAATTTTTTTCGGAGGTTCATGGGAAAGAAGCAACAAAAGCGCTAGATCTCATTGGGAAAAGGTTAAATCGTTACTTGAAACGCAAGTAATAGACGAGAACATGGCTGCGTGTCTTAGGCCTGTAGGGTCGCATATTCCCAGACTATATGGACTGCCAAAATTGCACAAACCAGGGGTACCGTTACGACCGATTTTATCAATGAGGAATTCACCTCAACATAAACTTGCCCAATGGTTAGTGCAGCAAATTGAACCAATCAGACGCAATCTTGCCGTTTACACTACCAAAGATACTTTCTCCTTCGTAGATGACCTGAAGCATCAGAATCTACTAAATAAACATATGATCTCGCTTGACGTGGAGAGCCTGTTTACAAACGTGCCACTGGAGGAAACAATTGACATAATTTGTGAGCATGCGGGTGAAACCTGCCACACCAGAGCAACTGCGGAAACTACTACAGATATGCACAAAGAATATACAGTTCTTGTTCAACGGGCGGCTGTATCGACAGATCGACGTTGTAGCTATGGGCAGACCATTGGGGCCAGTCCAAGCGGACATTTTTATGTCTAATCAAGAGCGAAAACGAGCCCGGAACTTACAACGAGCCTCATTCTATAGGCGATATGTGGATGACATTTTCGCCATAGTCAAAAATCCAGGCGACGGAGAACTACAACCCAAGGCTCTGAACAAGGTGCATGCAAAGATCAAATTTACGATCGAGCATGAGAAGAATGACACACTGGCTTTCCTGGATATTCTTGTACGTATGCGGGCAGATGGCTCTATTCAGAGATCCATCTATCGAAAACCCACCTGGAAAGGACAATACATGCACTTCCTCAGTTTCGTTCAAAT